TTAGCCAATAGCGGGTGGTGACACAGACTGCGGGGCTGATGGCTTCACCAAAGAAGAAATCGGAAAGGAAAGTGTTAGGGTACCAAGGACACAACTCTATGGAGCATCTCTAGAGGAGGAGAAGGGCTCAGAAAGTTCCGAGGAGTGGCAGCTAGGGTAGACAGAAGAACCAGGAATGTCCCAAACACAAGAGCTCAGGAGGAGTCACACCAGGAAAGTATTCTAGGCAGTGGAAGAAACCCGATAAAAGATTAGCTTAGTAAGGGGACGTCTGCACTAGATTTCTAGGGCATGGTTTCAGGAGGGAGGGGCATCTCTTCTGCGAGGTAATATCAGGAAGTTTGATATTTAACAGAAAGACATAGATGATAGATGGTCGGATTCTAGCTAGATACATCATGACGGCACAGTAGCAATGCATGGTCAAGGAAGGAGTTTTAGAAGGGAAAAGACTTGTTATGGATGTACTAGAGAGTCTCTGTCAGCTTGGCACAAACGAGAGCCACCTAGGAAGATAGACCGTTAGTTGAGGAGTTGCCTCCATGAGGTTGGCCCGTGGGCATGTCTGTGGGGCATTGTCTTGATTAGTGATCCTCGCACTAGAAGTAGCACCCTCCCCAGGCAGGGTTGTTTGAGAAGGCAGACTGCGGAACCCATGGAGACCAAGCCAGTCAGCACAGTTCCTCTCTCGTCCCTGCCTCAGCTTCCCTGGGTGATGGTCCGGAGCCTGTAAGCCAGACAAGCTTTTTCCTTCCTCAGGGTGGTTTTGATCAGTATTGTATCACAGTGACATGAAGCAAACAGGCCAGGGAATGTCTTAATGGGGCAGTGGGAGAGTGCTTTCTACACAAGTCATCACTGGTGGAATGACGTTCTGGGGCTGTGGACCAAGATGGAGTCCTGCACACACGTGGCAGAAATAACCATGGCAAAAAGAACTGATTCATCCGAGGCTGAAGGGGAGGAAAGAGTTAATGATGTGAGTGAGAAATTTGTGATGCTGAAGAGAAGAATGTGGGCAGACTCCTGTCCAATGCCCTAGTCTTAGAGGGGGTGGGAAGTGCTGGTCCAGGTGTCGGCAGGTTCACCCTTGACGCTTGGATTCTGGCTATGGAGGGGCCTCCGTTCAGTAAGCTGGTGCTGGGTGCTAAACCCAAGGTCACTAACCAGGTGAGTGAGCCCCTCTTCCAAAAGCTGTGGACCCTGACGGAGTGTCCTCCCCAAGCCGGGGCCCTTCTGCCGCCTTGGTTGCTTTCTCCCCTCTCTGCTCCTGAGGCAGTGACCACAGCCATTGTGATTTAAGCTGCTCTGCCCAGAGAGTCTGGACCAAATACTAGTCTGCCTCAATTAGGCAATGTTTATTGGAAGCTTATGGATTTCCGGGGAATCTGGGCCTGGCTGTGCGTTCTGACAGCTGTGATCTCTGAAGTGTCCTTACACGGCAGCCATGCTAAAAGTGGCAGATGGTCAAAGTGAAGAGCCAGTCTCTTAGAGCGACAGCGCAATGGCTTCAGTGTCTCCAGATGGTCCCCGCATCCATCGCTGCTGTCACCGAAACGGTGAGAACTGTTTGGTTGGTAAACGGCTGTCATCATCCTAAAATAATGGCTCATCTTCTGAAACAGCGCTGGCTAAGGACCAAAGGACATTTATGCAACGGAAATCACGCTTCCTTTCCCCTATGTTTTTAAATAATTTTAAATAATAAAAATCAATTAAGCCGGGGACAAAAAGAAGTAATGAGAGCAGTTTTCCTGACCAAAATTCATATTTTACCCACTAGTAGGAAGCGTGTGGCTGTCTACCTTCTTAGAAAAATCTACATCTAAAACGTATTTTCTTAATTTTTAAGGGATATTTCTTTTCTGTATGATGTTAAATATGAAAGAGGAGAGCCCAAGGAGAAGAAGCTTTGTCCCCCAGGTATAAACAAGTCCCTAGAGCCCGAGGACAGTGCCATGGTGCCTCATAACGTAAGTATCGGAAGAAGAATTTTCTCTCCCTCTTGGCTTTTTAATTGTTCCTCTAAACTCTAAAGCAACCTTCGGCTCATTATAACACCAGCCTTCGGGCTCCACTGTCATTACAGTACATCCCAGTTATTTCTTTAAAACTGCGTTTACTGGGAAAGAGCAAAAGTATTCTACACCATTTCTCAGGCCACAGTTAACTGTTCCGGTTACTAAGTATTCACTCATTTTAAAAGTACAAAATCAGGGAAGGGTATATTCCCCCTCCCCTGGAAAGTTCACACATAGAGTTGTAGATGATGACTGTCCTCCTCCTCCTGTTCTTCTCCTCCCTCCTTTCTTCTTCTTTTTCTCCCCCCCCCCCCCAGATAGGGTCTCTCTATGTAGCCCTGGCTATGGAAATCAGGCTAGTCTCCATCTCCTCGAGATCTGCTTCCTCTGCCTCCCAAGTGCTAAGGGCATCCCTCATGTGTTATTCCAGTGTGGGGCAGGCACTACTTAGTCTTCTTATCCCTTTCATCACCCCTTGGCCGGAACATTATGTTTCCTGGTGCTCCTTTTCTCTTCAAACTGTATAGTTTGCATCTCTTTCTGCCTCACTTGATCTTTTTCATCATAGACCTGCATAAGAATGATTACTAACTACCACATGACAGAGTCAGTTAGGCTGTCTTGAAATCTCCTCCACCAAAGAAATTCATCCATCACTTTTGAATTTAACCTCTTAGAACAAGGGCAGAAAGCAGGCGCGGTCCTTGCCAAAATATCACAATAGTGGTCTCTAGACCAGTTGCTAATATTGTTCCCCTCTGAAGCCTCGTGATCTGGTCCTCCACAGTCCTCATAGCTTTAGTATTATGGTCTCCTAAGATTCTACTGGGATGGTCCATTAAGCTCCACTTACAATGTTCAATGTCTCTAGTCTGATGTCCCAAAGTCTCTTACATTCTTCCAAAAAACAACATAGTTAAGTTTCATAGCAATAGCCCACTTCCTGGCTCTAACTTCTGTCTTAGTTACTTTTTTATTGCTGTGACAAAATGCCATGACCAAGGCGACCTATAAAAGGAAGTGTTTATTGGGCTTATGGTTTCAGAGGTTAGAGTCGATGATGGTGGAGCAAAGACATGGGGGCAGGAGCAGCTGATTCAAGAGCAGGAGGCAGAGAGAGGGCACATTGGTGCAAGTCTTTCGAAACCTCAAAGCCATCTCCACTGACACACCTCCTCCAATTAAGGCCACACCTCCTAATCCTTCTCAAACAGTTCCACCAACTGGGGATGTCTGGGACTTGTAAGGGATATCTCATTCAAACCACCTCATCAAGAAAAAAAAAGAGCTAAAGGGTTTATGAATATAGTTGGCCCTCCATACTTGAGGGTTCTCCATTCACCTATGCCACCAACCACAAGTAAAAAATGCTTGAAAAAATTGTATCTGTACTAAACATGTAAAAATGTTTTCTTGTCATAATTCCCTAAATAATTTAGCATGGCAAAATTTGCTTGTATGAGGTATTACAGTAATCCAGAGTCAATACAGTGTAAATAAGAAATGTATGTAGGTCCTGTGTAAACACTAAACTGTTTTATGTAATGGGCTTGACCATCTAGATCAGTGGTTCTCAGCCTCTGGGTTGCAACCTCTTTGGCAAACCTCTATCTCCAAAATATTACTATTTATAACACTAGCAAAATTAGAGATATGAAGTAGCAATGAAAATAATTTCATGGTTGGGTCACCACAACATGAGGAACTGTATTATCTATATTAAAGTGTCGCAGAATTAGGAAGGTTGAAAACCACTGATCTAGATTCTGATATCTTTGAAGGATTCTAAAATTAGTCCTTCTAAAATACCAAGTAATGATTATACCAGGAGAAAAATCTGTCCTCACATTCATGCTTAATTTTGCTATATATGTCCAGTTTTTACCTATTAATATATCCATTCTTTTCTTTATAAGCAGAAGACATTAGCAGACACTTTGATTCCTGAAGAATTTCATATTGTGTCCAATACAGGAGTTTCGGGTTTGGAGTGTTATGATGAGTGAGTACCACGTTGTTTGTTGAATATCTGACATGCACTGTTTTCTCCTTTCCATACTGGAAAGAACCCGAGAAGAGCACACTCCTTTTCCTAGTGTGGTCAGAAATGTTTGGGCGAGCTGCCCTGGCACAGTGTAAGAGATAGTAAAACAAAAACAAAGGCAAAAGAAACAACCCTAGAGAAGGCTCTTCTTCCTTCGCCTGTTTGCTCTTAGAGCACAGTGAACAGAGATGTGTTAAGGTAAAGCGAGAACGATCTCCTGATAGTCAGGAGACTCCAAGGGAGAAATACAAGAATTTTGGGTTTTCATGACTAAATAGTTCCATAGCTTTTCTTACCATTTAATTTCTAATATTTTAAAAAGTGCAACTTTAGGGGCTGGAGAGGTGGCTCAGTGGTTAAGAGCACTGACTGCTCTTCCAAAGGCCCTGGGTTCAATTCCCAGCACCCACATGGCGGTTCACAATTGTCTATAACTCCAAGATCTGACACCCTCACACAGACAAACGTGCAGGCAAGATATCAATGCACATAAAATAAAAATAAATACATTATTAAAAAATATGTTGTTAGGACTAGAGAGATGGCTCAACACGTCAGGGCACTTGCTGCTCTTGCAGAAAACCCAGGTTGGTTTCAGCATCACTGGCAGCTTACCATTTCCTGTGACTCCAGTTCTAGGGGATTTGATGCCCTTCTCTGGCCTCTGAAGGGCCTGCAAGCACGTGGGACATATACATACACTCAGGCACACACACACACACATACAAAAACAAATCTTGAAAAAAATGGAACTTTGAGTTGTGTGTAGTGGTGCATACCTGGGAAACTGAGGCAGGAGGATTGCAAATTCAAGGCCAGCTTGGGCTATATAGAAAGACCCTGTCTCAAAACCCAAAACCAACCAACCAGATAAAGCAGAACTTTCTTCCAAATTCTCTCT